AGTAGCATTTCTGGTTTCTGGAGGATTTTAACTGTTGTGTTAAATTGACAAACTGAGAAATCAGACTCATTGTATGTGAGGTAAAAACAGTTGTAACCAATTAAAAATTGAATCATAAAAAGTTGTGAATGGTGAGAGTCCATCATTTGTTCAAGGAGTAAATATGTGGTGTTTTTACTTTTCTGTGTATTTCTATTACATCACCTTTGAACTGTCTTTGCCCAGCCACTTCTTTACTTTGGTCACAACAAACGTACAGGCTCTGCAGGAACCAGGAAATGCTCCATTCCGCAAAATCTAATATAATGAAAACATCATGTGTTTTTAAAATAATGCATCAGATCATACAATGAGTCAGTCAAAGAGAAGTTCCTGTAAACGTCACAAAATAAAAGGATGGCTGAGGTTTTTACTTGAAATTCATCTCATTCATTGTGATTGTTCTTAGAATTTCTTACCTGCTCCTCATGATGTGTTGCTCTTTTTCTCACATGAAGTTTTAACTGGGAGGTAAAATCATCCTCTTCTGTTTGTTCCACCGAAGATTCAACAACAGCTAAAAAAAAGGAAAGAGAACTGTGTTTAAAGTGTTTTACTTAAATTGTCAGAATGAAATAGTAGAAATCTTGTTATTGTCTGACCTGCAGAGAGCAGGAGAAGAGCGATGCTGAAAACAGGACTCATGGTCATCGATGCTGTTTCACCAGAGTTGACTTGTTCTGCTTTGGGTTGGCTTTTTATTCTATTTCATATGCGTCTGCTGTTTGACCTCAAACACATGCATCAGCATTTGACACTTTTTCTTTTTTTTTTAGTACTATTATAAAATAGACATTTTCAAACAGTTGCAGTATCCAAATAGACCTGGTAAACACAAGTAGAAAGTAAGTCTATGTTTCTGTGTGATCAAGACTGTTTCACTTTGTTTACAAGTCTGTATTTTCTGGTAAATATATATTCTCTTCCATCCTTTTCATGTTATCAAGTAAAACACAACTCATGAAAGGACTTGGAAGTCGACGACAATGTTCACTGAAACACTTTGCTGCAGCAGGTTCCTAAATCTCTGTAATGAACATCTGGACTATATATATACAATACCAGTATAATAACAGTATATAATAAAAATAACAGTATAATGGCAGCAACAGTATATTATGATAATAATAATAATAATATACACATAGAAATGTGTCATAATTTAGCCTGTGCAAGGTGTGCATCGGACATAACTGCAATATATAATATGTACACATGTATAAATATATGTATATATATATATATATATATATATATATTCACAAGATATGATATAATATGATATTATAGTATAGGTATAATATATGCATATAAATACTTGACTATACGCGATATACATACAATAGATAATATACTTATGATATGAAGTAAATGTTCTTTATTGGAGCGGAGTGTTGTACAGGGTACATGGTGCAAAGGTGACAGGAAGATTCAGTGCAGTTCTGTGATGGTGGCTCTGACAGAGGAAGATGAGATGTAAAGTCTTATTGCGGTTGGGAGGAACGATTTCCTGTATCGTTCCTTAGAGCAGCAGGGTTGAATGAGTCTGTTGCTGAAGCTGCTCTTTAGCTTGTCCAGTGTTTTGTGGAGGGGGTGAGAGGGATTGTCCATGATTGCCAGCAGTTTTGCCAGCATCCTGTTCTCCACCACCTCCTCCAGGGTGACAAGCTTAGAGCCAACTACAGACTCAGCTTTCCTGATCAGTTTGTTCAGTCTGTTGGCGTCCTTTGTCTTGATGCCCGCACCCCAGGACACCGCAGCAAAGAAGATGGTGCTCATCCACAACAGACTGATAGAACATCTGCAGCATCTTGTTGCAGACATTAAAGGACTTGAGCCTCCTCAGGAAATAAAGCCGGCTCAGGCTCTTCTTGTAGACGGCCTACAGTTCAAGTAGTTTCACACTTTCACTTTCTCCAATCAAAGAACAAGCAGAGAAACATTTTAGGTAAGGTTATATTTGACTAATCTCTGTCTATAGCTATCCGCACATGAATATACATTCAAAAAAATAATATCTGAGGCATTTTAGCCAATCTGTTCCACCTCTTTTTTTCTCCACATGTACTGTTTACCTGCAGGCAACATAAGTCTTCTTAAACGTGATGGGTCAAACTAGAAACAGCCTCAAGACAGCTTCTGCCCCAAATCTTGTTCTCTTCCTTTGTGGAGGTGTGCTCATGTGCTGCTGGGAAGCTCAATGGAAAATTCAGCTGTACCTCAATTGTGTTTGGCTGCTAGTGCAATTGTGCGACCACTGACTAATGCCGCCCTACGTCAGTTGCCTTTCCACAAGCACCCTGATGCCACAAGAGTAGAGCAGGTATGACTCCATCCAGATGTGCTCAGAGGACAATGGTTCCACAAAAATAAAGAAAATAAAAATGATCCATAGCAAGCACAAGACCCTCAGAAAGTTCCTGCAGTTCAGTTAAGTTAAACGCCACCAAACCCACATCTGGGTCAATTTCCTCAGAAGAATCTAAATTCTTTTCATGTCTAAATGTTTCTGTCTGCCAAAAGTTTGCTATGCTTTGTCCACGTGCACATTTTGTCTGGTGAGCTACCGTGCATGGTTCTCGTCAGTGTCACCATGAATCATCTAGCTGGTTCTCAGTTGAGTGGAGTTTCTTCACTGGTTTTCACAGGTTGAGCTGCTGAGAATACAAACGTTTCTTCCTGCTTCACACCTTCTGAAACCATAAATAACATTCACACTTGTGTGTGTTTCTCTCGCACGCACTATGTGAAAAGTGTAAAGGTACCTAACTCTTACATGCTAACCTAAGGTCTACAGACTATTAAGACACACAGTCCCAGACTTTCATGTCTCTTGAGCAATGTGAAGCAACAGACTAAAAGCTGCAGCCAGCTAATAAAACAATGTGTTATGAGAGTGATGGTGCAGCTGTGGGCTGGACAACTCAACAATGTTCCACAGACAAACAAGTTCCACAAAACTGAGAAGAGGTGAAGAGTCAGACGATAACTTTCTTTGGGTTTGTCACAAGTTTCTCTCTTTCGTCCTGTTCGCATGTTCTGATTTTTGCTGGTTCAGAAGCTGTTGCACTAACACTTACTGTTGTACAATCATCTAATCTGCAACTGTATCTTGCAGTGACTTTAATAAAAACAGGGGGTGCTGTGACACAGTCAAGTGTGTGAGGCCTGCCGATGTCCTGTGGTGAGGGCCTGGTGTGTGTGTGTGTGTGTGTGTGTGTGTGTGTGTGTGTGTGTATGTGTGTCTGTGGCTACCTCAGCTTCTGTAGTTAGGCTGCATCTCCAGCAACAATGTAACCGTGTGAGTTGCTGCTAAATGGAGGTGCAGACCAACCTGACACTGTGCAGGGAGACGACGTCCGTCACTGGGATCAGATGAGGGTGAATCAGGAAGATGCTCTGAGCTGTGAGGTGATCGGATGAGACACTGGACAGAGTCAAGTGCAAGTGGCCTGGAGTTGTGACTTTTAGCAGTGCATATGTCCTCAAATTAATGAAGTTGTTTTCTTAATTTGAAAACTGGGATTTAAAACTTCTCCATCTCTCTGCACATTACAGCCAAAATCATAATTTATTTCTCTTCCCCTCAACTTCAGTCTGAAAACTTGCTTTGAGGACGGATTCACGTCTTTACACACTGAATAACTGACTCACTAACTAACTCAAGCTGTTTTCCAACCAAATCCTATCACAGGATGCATATTTGCAGGACCATTTGAGCAAATGATGAGCTGATTATCGAAAGCTAATTGTTGAGCTCGAAAAGAAAAAAGAGCCAGGATGAAAATGGGCAAATTATTCTGACTCATAAGAATCAGAGTATTGTGAAATACTTTTGTCTTTTTTATATAACTGTGACAAATTCTTGAAAATGAAAATGGTGAAAATGCTGAAGAAGAGGAAGAATGTGAGACCACGGATTTTAGTTTTTGTGATAAAGACGGAATTTTAATCTCATACATACATTATGTACAATATAGTATTCTTGGACATTCACTAAAGCCAAGTTTCAGTGCAGAACAGCCTTTAAGAGATATACTATATCTACTAAGATGCAACACCCTGCCAGAAATGCACACGACAAGAGAGGGATCGTATTTAAAGTTAACACGCTGACTGGAAATGTCTCTTTTTCTTATAGGCACCATTGTGCGTTCACAAGTCTTCTCCATCGGCTCACATGGGCTTTGATCGACAAATTAAAATAAAAAACCAGAGTCCCTAACCCAGAGCTGTACCTTACCTCTCACCCTCTCATGTTAACAAAGAGATGTAATATTTGGTGGAAAGAATCAAAAAGAGAGATTAAATCAATCAATAATCAACGAAGACAATCCTGAAATATATAAATCTAGTAGATTCTGCAGCTTGGAGAAAATGTAAAATGTTAAATTTGGTAAATGAGAAGTATAGTGCCTACTCAAACTGACTTTATTAGTTTCTGATTGATGATTATGAAAATGTATTTTACCATCAACATAATGTAAAACTCTGGATTGCGGTGAGGAAGATATTTCTGCGTGAGGGTGATGTTGTTGGAAGACCAGAGAGAATTACTGAAGTCTTTTTCGATGTGTCAAACTCCTCTGGAAATACTCCTCCACATCTCTGTTTCTCACCAGAAACATGTGGAAAAAACTTTTTTTAGGACTGTAACTGTACGCTGGAGGTTATACAGGAAGTTCTTTCAACAGATGTTTAGGGTAATTAAGGCTTAATAGAAAGTAAGTTATTGTTTTCTTATTTCCTCAATTATATTTAGAGCAAGTTTTGAAAGGGCCCCGTATATGCCACTGTGTGTAACCAAATCTTAAAAATAAAAAAATGTGGTGTTTGTTTCCTTTTCTCAGGCATAAATATCCAATATTTATTTCAGAAAATAAACAGAATAAGACTAAGTGGAAAAACTCGTTGGCTCTAATACAATCAAATCCAGTGATCTCCTGTGGTCTAACAAACATCACCTCAGCATCTGTTTGTGCTGAGAGCGAGTGAGGAAGGTGCAGAGACTCTGACCTGGAGTCTTCAATGACAAAACCAGCATCACTTTTTCTGTCAAACCCCATCACTGGTGTCTTGTCTTTTCATTTCAGTTTCCTCCCTCTGAGGCGACTGGTCCTAACTTCCTTCCCTCTTTCTTTCTAACTTTTTCTCTCTCTCTCTCTCTCTTCTCTCTAAGTGTGTCTCTCAGATGATTTCCAGGACGTCACAGGGCACAAAGCCTGTTTTCTTTCCACTCTCCACTCTGATGAAGCCGCTGTGCTCGCCCTCACTGCTCACACAGATCTGAAAGCAGAAGGAAGAGTTTCCTGAAACTTTGTTCCAGTGTTTTTTACTTTGACAACTCCAGAGAGACGTGCCTCATATATATTTTACGAGGTAAATCTTGCTTGTATATATCAACACAGAGTGTTGCATTCGATATAAGACCTTAATTGAAGTTTTGAACAGGGTCTTAATATAAACCAGACAGTATACAAAGACCTTAAATCACAAAATTTGAATCTATTTCCTCAAGCTGTTCTTGTGACACCATGTTCACAACAATGGGACAGACGGCCTCAGGGCCCACTGGCCACATTTTTGGTGCTTTGGTATAAAATGCTCTGTATTTGCGATGAGCTCTAAGGTCCAACACTGATATCTGTGGTTACAATCAGATTTGATGAAGAACAAATTTGTGTGTCTGAGCAATACGCAAATAATTTTTAACAACAAAAAAAGAACTCATCCTATTTTCTCCAAATTTCACTCACTGACCGTCACAATGGATCAGAGGACACTGTGTTCATGTTCTCTCTTAGAACATCTTCCCCTGGGTTTGAGAGACTGGAAAACAGAAGCCACAGACTTGTCTTGTGCCCGGTGGTTAAATCTCCACTGAGGTTTGCTAAATCTTCAGGCATGTTGGGACTCCTTTGAGTCTCAAAGTGTCCTGGGATGCATTGTGGGTAAAAAAAAGGGAGCCTGATCTAAGTATGGCCGTTGTGCCAAAATGCTGTTTGACTGGTGAATCCTGAGAGGGATCCAGTGATGACTGCAGTATAGCTGTTCAGTGAATATAAGTGTGAGAGGGAAGCAGCGATGTGGGAGCTGCAGAGGGCTAATAAGGGCTAATCATAGTTATCAGTACCTGTCCTTCCTTCAGGGTGATCTGGCCTTGTTCCTTGCAGCCGATGAATGTCCTGTTGCACCTGAACACTTGATCCTCGGCCCGCACATGATGCGCAAAGGCTGCTGGGAAGAAGCCGATCCTATCCTCAATTACCCCCTGGAAAACATTAATTCATCAAACATTGAAAACAGCTGACGCATAGAAAAAGCTGCAAAGGACATAAGAGGATTACACCTCCAGTGTTTTCATAAATGATTAAATAAAGGCCTTGAAAAAACAACAGAGGTTCTGTGATTCTTGCTCATGTGAATCATGGTAGAAACAGCATTTTAAAAAAAAATGTAGCTTATGAATTTGGTCCATTAACCATTTATTAACATGGCGGAATCTGGATTCATGACCCATACTGCAGCCAGATATACAAAGTGGGGATCCATTTTTATATAGTCTGTGGTTAAAACAGTTTGGTCACACCACCTACCACCCACAAAAATCAGTAGATAGTAAAGATAAGATATTGCTTTTATGTTTTCACCATGGTTTTCACATGCAGTGCATGCTTAATGACTGCCTCTCGACTTGTTAAAATGTCCATTGTTCATAGAACAAACAGGCCAGATGTCTGTTTATCTAGAGGCTGTAGAGAACAACAACAGCATTAAAATGTGTGATGAGTTTCTTCACGGTCTGGTGGCAGCAGGCTGCCTCTGTACAGTCACGTTTTGGCCCTTTTATCTCCGTAATTTATCTGTCATGCATCCCTGTCCTGCAGCAGCCTGTGGCCTTGCTCCTATAATTTTCAGGCTAGACATCCTGTAATTTATCAATCCAGTTTTTCAATCTGGAATTTTCTGTGCTTTGTGGAAAATGCACATTGTATGCAAAACCGCCAACAACTGATTGCCAAACTCTTGTTAAATTTAGGTGGGAATCTCAGGAATGTTGGAAGTTTAATTATATAAAAAACAGTCTAGATGAGCCATGCTAGTTCGGACCTACCTTCCACCAGTCATTGTTAGAGTCATCAGCCAATAAGATCCTGTCTCCTGCTCTGCAGTGACAAAGCAAAGTCAAATTCAGTCAAAACTGTTTTCCTCCTCTGATATACAAGATGTTGTTGTTTTGACCCAGTCTGGGTTTACAGATTACAGATTTGACACAGGATGCATTTGTGTTCACACTGTAAAAAAGATGTTGACATATTGTGGCCCAGATTCCCAGCAGCTATAATCTACAATCAAATAATTTGTCATCTTACATACGCTTCATATTGAATCAGAGAACATGTCATCATTTCTCGGTCGCAAATATGTGACATGTGATACACCTTTATCCTGTTTGCGGTACATACTTCTCGAAATGCATGAATCATTGTACCCCATCACTACATGTGCAGTAATTACTAGCATCTGTTCAAAGCCATTGGCTTCAAAATCAAAGGAACCAGCACAGTTGAGTCAAGTGTTGGTTTACACAATTTCCCTTTTTCCTTGTGGTTCGGTTATAACTGTGTTGGTGCCCTGTAATAATGATCGTGACTCAGAAAACACTGTTGTAGGTGAGAAACAGCATGGCAGACAATGCTGCTTATGAGGTGATGAAAGCAGCAGGCCAAACTAATTGCAAAACTGAGTTTCTCTCTTAAAATTAAGTTGAACCTTCTTATTGAGTGAGCTTTTGCTCTGTAGAGCAGGTATCTGTGGACAGAGGTCCTTGAGGAAAAGTCAATGAATTTCAAATGAAGCCAAGGGAAGCTTTTCCTGATCAAAGGGAGAGGGAGGGTCAGTTTGTGTGTGTGTGTAGGCAGAGACAAGTGCACTCTTATATCCTTAAATCCTCTGTGGGACAAGGAGGAAATGGTTCTTCGGCTGAAGGGCTCTTCATGATGAATGAGGGCCTGTTTCAAAGTATATTGCAGACGATTCCTTATCAATCATAACAATAAGCCTGAGGTTCACACTATATCTGAGATAATAAGACAACATACATGTGTACAGCTGTGTTGAATTATTGTTCCATGTCACTAGGGGTTTCTAAATCAAAACAACAACAAAATACATAGTTTGATGATGTCGAAAAGCAGCGTGGGATCATAGGAGGTGTTTTCACCAACATTTCAAATTTACATCTGCCTGAACTTACGCAAATGTTACTTTACAGCAGCAAACTGCAATGAATAAAAGTGAGCGTTACCAGTGACCAATACAAACAGTGGACAGCTAACAGCTAACTGGCTAACAGTGTGTTCTTCCCTTGTCAAACATAGGACGTTAAAGCAGAAACGGGCAAGTAAAGCGGTTTGGATGATGTAAGTACAAAAGTCAGCCAAGTATACAGTATAACATAGGGTCTACTCATTTTTAGACATTTTAATGAAGAATTGTCACATGTTATATCTTTAAATTCATATATGTCATACATCTCTCTCCACATTGCATGTCTATGAGCCCTTTGTGTGGGTGTGGTTGTGTTTCGGGGTTAAAATGCATGTAAAAAATTTGTCTAAAAAGAATTTCCCCTTGAGGGATTAATAAAGTATCTCTTCTTCTTCTTTTTCCCCAGTTTATTTGAGTGTCAAAGTTCAAAGTGTTAATGTAGCATATAGCATCAACAATTCAAGTCAAGAAATCGTCATGACAAATCAATCAGTACATGACAAAACAAAAAGTACAATGTACAAATGTACTTACATCATCCAAAAAAAAAGTTTAGTTTATTGACTCCTGAGGAAAATATCACCTGTTTGTGTCTGACATGCATTATTTTGGTTCTTTTTTATGGACTCTTTGGTTTATGGACTTTTTCCAGTGTTTCCTTGTGTTTAGGTTTGTGTTCAGTTGTTTCTCCCGTGTCATTCCTCTTTGCACCTGCAATATTTTTCACTATCAATCAGTATCATTTGCTGTATATACTAACATTATCTACTCAGTAGTAATATACTTTATTTGAGTTGATCATTTATATTTGAGGTGTTTCATTTTATTTAGTTTTATATTCTATTTTTTTTCAAAATATTTTTGAGCATGGGTAGAAGGGAGCCTGTGACACAATTATTTGATTGCTAGCGACTGCTGTATGTAATTGTTGTGCACATGATAATTCAAGTCTTGAATCTTGAATCTGAGTTCTCAGTTTCCTGTTTTATCTTGAAGTTTTTACTCCTCCTGTTTCTCTAGCTTAACTTCCTGTCTTTGTCCTGTTTCCCGCCCCCAGCACCTGTTCCTCATGTGTTTCACCTGCGTTCAATTATCTCCGCCTCCCTTGTGTATATAAGTCTCAGTGCTTCCCTTTGTCGGTTCATCGTTTGCCTGTCACACGTCGTTGGTTCGTCATGTTCTTTGCTGTCATGTTACCAGTGTCTTCTGTTTTTTCAGTTTAGCCTTGTTGCAGTTTTTTCTGGTTCCAGTGTTTTTTCTGTTTGTGAGTTTTTGTTAGTATTATTAAAGGACACTATGTTCTTGCATTCGGGTCCACCTGCTCTCATCAAAACAGACAAACCACCTTTCATGGTCACACTGTTTTCAAATTGTCATTTCTTACAATGCTATCAAGTATTAGTTGTGCCATTTTGAGTGAAAAGTGTAGAATGTCCACTAGTGCCTCAGACGAAGTTTACTGTTGAGTATACGATTAACTGCCACTGGCATAATCCCTAGTGGATGATGTAAATTGACTAATAGAGACAGAACATCATAGCACACATTCAGGTACCATTAATGAGGCCACTCCAGAGAAATACATCTTTGAAGACCATTACCTAAAAAGAGAAAGCTAATTAGTTCCTTTTGTCTATTCTTGTATATTTTCACCTGTGCTGCTCTGAGCGCACTGATTTCATAAGATGATACAGGAGAAACACAGACGCCCCAATTAAGAGACATGTTGATTTCCTGGTATGAGCCAGTAGATGACAGCTCTTTAACTGCAGTCACTGACATTTGTTATAACAATAAATTAAACACCTTTACATGTGTTTGTGTTTTCAATTGTGTGCCTGAGTCTTGATGTGTGGTGTGACTTTATGAGCGCATAAAACACAATAAATAATTGCACTGGATTGTTTTCTGAAGCTGTACAATCAGAATTAAAATGAGTCACACAGAAGTTTTGTTTCTGCCTTTGCTGCTGATTTGTTTCCTCATAACAACGGCTTAAAATCGATTTAGAAAAGTCATTAAGAAATTCTCTAAAGGCAGACTCGAGATATCACGTTCAAGAGGCTGGAAACGTGTTGTGAGGCCACGTGATGTTGACCTTTGAGCACCCAAATCGAATCAGTTCATCTGTGAATCAAAGTAAACATTTGTGCCAAATTAGAAACGATTCTCTCGAGGCGTTCTAAAGATAACGTGGACATGAGGCAAAGGGGGTTTTGTGAGCTCGCAGTCACCTTGACCTTTTACCTACAAATTCCAATCCTCGAGTCCAGGTGAACATTTCCACCAGATTTGAGCCGATTCCCTCAAGTCGAGACTGAGACATAAAAAGAAAGACTCAGAGGGCTGGTATCAGGAGACGAAATGTGTTGTCTAAATCATTGAATGTAATATTTACATTTAATAATATAAGAGCGACTGTAATATTTAAGACCTGGGATTGATTGCACTGAAGGTGAAATAAACAGTGTAACATCTTGGTGTTTGAGCTGCTGCCTGGCAGGTGACCTCTGGCGACCTACGCGTGTGTTCCAATAAATCACTGCTGGTGTCAATCAGCCCACAGAAGAATTTTGATTGCTGTATATGTTTGATTTCTCCTTTTCTTCAGGATATTATGAAACGTTGGACCGTATCGCTCCACATGGGTTAGTGTGTGTGCACAAACTGACCTCATCTCCAGGTCATGGCTCTCTTGGGGAGTGAAACTGAACAAGGCCACATAGGTGTTGAGTTTGAGGATGTCTTTCTGTAGCTGGCTCTGCTCCAACTAGATGACAAAAAAACAGACACACACATTTGAATTAATGAAATAATGGAAAAAGTGGTGCATTACAAGACAAGGGAAAGACACAGTACACAAACACCATATTGTCTGTTGTCCCTTTTCTCACTGTTGTGTCTTAAAATACTCTTTTGGCGTTCGCATGGGCAGGAGCAGTCCTTGTTTACGGTCCTCTGATAGACCGAGGAGCTGCTTGAACTGCTCCGCAATCTGTTCCCTCTAATCCAGCGTCAATATGAGTGGGAGAGGCCGGATCCGCTTTTCATGAATGCTTAGGAAGTTAAAAAAAGGACAGGGCTGTGGGTGGAAGGGAAGTTCTCACAGAGGTGTTAGCACAATTAGCAGGGAGATAAGCGCTCTTCGCACCTGCTCAGAAAAGCGGTGGGTGCGTTTTCCGATTTCATAACCACCACCTTGAGTCTGAACGCTGGATCCCTGAAATCCATCCAAATAATAGCTTGTTCCTGCGTGTGGCCTGGAGGGAAACTATGCTAAAAGATTTAAGAATGAATTTTTAGGACACACAGATGTCTATTCCTGCACAGCTTCAGGATTTGACTTCTCGGTGGCAGGTTTGATAATGAAGAGGAGTTGTTTGGTCGTTGTGGCTCCCACGTGCACTGGCTATGTCACTGATGGATGACCTGAGTTAACTGTGGCCTCTGGGTGAAAGCAACAACATCAACCAGTGGCAATCCATTACAGCTCACTAAGAGCTTCTTGCTGCAAGAGCCTGGCGGATAAGACAAGAGCCTCCTTTCTAAGTTATCAGGAAACAAAACAGTGTCTGAAGTGAAGGACAAAGCAGTGAGGTAAAAATAATAAAGGAAGAGTGGATTCAGGTAGTAAAACGACAGGTTTACATTATGATGCTGATATTTAACATGATTGGAAACAATTGCAAATTCAAAGTTACAGCTGGACTGTCTGTGTCCACTTCCTCTATATTCTTGCACATCTTCTCAAAGCTAACTGAAACGGACAGAATGAAGCAGAACCACAGGAAATCGAAGGGGACCACAGAACACAAGGAAGACAATTCAACAAAGGCAGAACATTTTGAAGAGAGACATTAAGCATTGGCAAGAAACTGCAGGTGTCTATATGATATGACTTTGCCTGGACACAGGGACAAACAGCAGCTTTTGCCTCTTTCTTAAGAGGTACTCTATCACAACCCATTGCTTAACAAACTTGCCAATATAAAAGGAGAATGTCAATAAGTGGAAGTGGCTGTAACAATGACATGCTTTGAAAATGACACATCTGGCTGAGAGGCAACATAAATGAGCCATTAAGCCATAATCGGACACAATTTTCTTGACATTCTCTGTAAATGGCCTTTATGACACATGAAGGCGCAGCAGGCGATTGTCCGTGTCAGACATGTGCGCACACAACAGGAAAATGAAAACATGTTATTATCTGCAGCACATTTGCACCGGCATCAGCACTTATCAACAAAAGCTCTTAAATCTAATTATTTTTTTAACAAACTCAAAATCAAACTTTCCAAATTCAAGCAAAAATAAACAACTTTTTTACAGTCCTCTCTGGTGAAGATGAGTTTTCCACTGATCATTAACCCACAGAGCCTCCGTCTGTCTGTCCCACAGCCTGAGCTAAAGGACCTGTCGGCCGACAGACAAACAGCCCACTGCCAGCTGTGCTCGGTCCAGCCTGAAAGGACCCCACAATGCACTTTGAGTCTGCAAAATGGAATGCTAAATTTTATTGAGAGATGTGTGTGTGTGTGTGTGTGTGTGTGTGTGTGTGTGTGTGTGTGTGTGTGTGTGTGTGTGTGTGTGTGTTTGCGTGCATGTGTGTAGGTATTTGTGTGTTTTTGGCCTTGTATGGTTATTTTTTCATTTTTGTGTTTGTCTAAGTATCTGTGTTCTTTTTCCACTGTTGACAACAGAGATAAACATGTAAAACTATTAAAGCAAACAGGGCAGATGCCTGCACGTAGAAAATATTTACAAAGAGTATCAATACTGAAGGATCCTCCCCATGGACGCTGAACAGATTTAAAGGAAATGAACAGTCTTGGTATATTTCTATGAATATGAAGGCATGCATTGTTGCACCATCAGCGCTACATCTTCACTGTTAATTAACACAGCAGCACAGATCCCAGATCAAAACATGAGGGCCAAGGCTCTGTCACATCAGTGCAGGCCAGTGGTCATGTCAGCACTGGTATGATTTGTTACAGCAGGAAGATAATTTTTTTCCACAAAGCCCTGGGAAATTCAGCAGTGGCGATAGAGGCGAGGAGCCAAGTGCAGCATACTTAATGGATGCTGCACGGACTGGCTGAGTATCAGTTCTCAGAGTCACCAGGCAGAGTTCAGAAGTTGGTCAGTGAACAAAATTGGCTCTCGGGGGTTTTCAGACTAAAGCTATGACACGTTACAGTAAGACTCTGTTCTGCTGTGAAAAGTTTGATGCTACAGTTGCAGACTTGTGAACTTACTGTTAAAGATCCAGTGTGTAAGATTTAGGTGAAAGGGAACTATTGGCAGAAATTTGATATAGAATAATTCTCATGATATTTTCACTACTTCATTTCATCTAAATTGTATGAATTGTAGTTTTCTTAACCCCAGAAAAGGCCCTATATATTTAAATACTTTATATATTTATTTTTTATTCTACACATTGAACCTTTAAAGCACGACAATACATTTAGTTTAGTTTTTCGTGTCTGCAGGTGAAAAAGCAAAGTCTGACGTCACATCCAGTTTTCTGCATTAGATATTTATTTTGTGAAAATGATTTGGTGGATTTGTTTCTTACCGGGAAATCATCAGGTTTTCTCTCTGGCTGGTGATAAAGCTCCGTGCCGTTCTCAATGACTGTGAAAACTGACAAAACAAACAAAAAATGAAAAAATGTCATTCACCGAATTAAGAACCAAGCATACCAATCATTAAGAATAGAATTTAAACCCCGGCCTGCTGCCCCTACAAGCTGTGATTTGAACTAAATTCCATGTTGAACTCAAAAATGAAACCAATTTATTTTCCTGGCTAGAACATTACCAGGAAAACAGCAAAAACATATGTTGGCAACAAATAAAAGATGAAGAGTCAACCTCTGGGGTTCATAAACATCCATAACCGGTCCATGATCGGTTTTCATTTATCATAGCTGTTTTTTGTGTCTGTTTTTTCCATTAACCCTGAGGAGTCCTGGGCTATTTTGCCAATTTTTGAATACTTTTGATTTTGCCTTTATATACCACATCAAACTTTTTTAGATTGTCATGTGTGTTTCTGTTTTTCAGCACAACATTGCTTGTCTTGTGTATTAGGATGTGTATTGGTTGTGATCATTATATAAGCGTTTCAATGAACAAGAATAGAAATGAAACACCTGCCTGGCCCTGAAAAACTGTGATTTGTATTTGATTCCACAGTGAACACAAAAATTATACTCAAAATGATGGTGGCAACAAATCAAAAATGTCACAAAAATGTCCTAAATATCTATAACACACTTGTGGATAGTTTTTCTAGTTTTTTTTTCCATGAACCTCATCACTATCAAAGACTGGCCGACACTAACAAGCAGGGCTGAATGGAGCTCTTGATTTTTCCTCTTGTTCGGGGCTTTTCTCTGAATTCCAGCAGCATTGTACCTATACTTCAAACAGCATTCTCCAATACGAATGCCTCTGTGGGCTCCAACATTCTCACTAATTAGAGAGAATACATCAGATTGTAAAGGGTCAGTGCTTTGCCCTTCATTACACAAACTATTGTGCAGCAGAACAAAGCCCAGTGCCTCTGAATAAGGAGCCACACACACACACACACACAATGCAGGTGAAAGGTGAAGGTTTGTCTCATTGGAAAATTGCAAAGATCCTTATTGGATGGTTCACAGGAGGAGAATTTGATGTTGCAAACATTTCTCTGACTCGTGTGAGAAAAGCAGTGGCAGTGTTTTATCTTCCTTGTATCGCTACGTGGTTTGGGATCTTCAGACACTCACCGTCGTCACTGTGTTTTCTTGACAGCTCCTGTCGACTGCTGTGAGCCACCACCTCCTCAGGAACCTTATCCAAGTCACTGGTCTGTAAAGATTAGATACGTCAGTCAAAAGATATCGATACATCTGTCAATCATCTTCCCAATTGTAGGATTGAAGTGAAAAAACAATGTCCATCTCACTCTTCAAAGGTGAAGCCTCTTAATGTCTGGTTTGGTCCAAGCAACAATCTCAAAATACAAAGATTTTCAGTTCATATAAAACCGGAAACACTCGTCTTTCATAAGGGGGAAGCAGAGTTTTTTTTTTTTTAAAGAAATTGTTAAATCCATGTAACTCTAATAAAAATGATGGATATTGACAGAGGAGGATACAGATAGATAGAGAGATGAATGATAGAGACAAAGGTAAGTGGAGACAGATTGAAAGAGATGGGGAAGTGAAAAGACAGACAGACAGATTAGATGGATGGATTGCAGAGAAAGTGATAAGGATAAAGAGGGAGATGGAGAGATCGAAAGATGCCTAGAGATAGATATGGAGATAGAAAGAGAGAGAGGGGGAGGGGGGATGACAGATATTTCGGAGACCCCTGTTATGTAATAAACAATCCACATTTGCAAACTATTAACATAATCCCTGTTGAGACATTGTCTTCGCACACACACACACACACACACACACAAATCCACTGACAGCTGCTCAGGACAGGACGGGTCGACCACAACAGCTTCCAGACATCATCATATTCCCCGAGCTTCACTTTACACACACAGATGGAAACAAGGCAGGAAAGGGCCATGGCTCTACAATCAGTTCAGTCCATCTTCAGAGCTGTAACACGAGCGCTTGTGCCGACGTCTCCCGTCATGACCGCCTGGACCAGACTGCCTTTATTGGTAGTGTTTACAGCCCTGCAGTGGCCATATCTATTTAGATGATCAGCGACAAAATGTCTCCTGAACTGAACTGAGTGTCGAGTGGAGCTTAATGAAAATAACTGAGACAGAATAGGGTAAACAACCTGAATAATTATATTTACTGACTTTACTTCTACTACTGAACTTCTATTTATGCAACCATGCACCATGTGCCATTTCATCCACTGAGAACTTTACTGTAAATGCTTCTATTTTGCTGCTATTTGAGGATGAACATTACTTGTTACTACTGTTCATTGTCTGCATACCAGCCATGAAGAATTTGCATTGCTCATTATATGTTGTGTTACTTATATGTCTACTTATATATTGTGTTACTAACAAGTTTTGTTCAATATTTTGTGTGACTTACATGTTATGTTACTTACATGTTGAGAACTAATATGTCTACTTATATGTTGAGTTACTTGTATGTTGAATGTGTTGATTGTAAGTTAAGTATCTATATGTCTTTTCATGTGTTTACAATGAGAATCAGAAAGAGCAGCATCTCAGTCCGGTCTATGTCCTGAGTGTACGGCAGAATTGAAAATAAAATGTAATTTGATTTAGACCTTTGTTAAAAAAGAAATTGTCCTTTTCTCACCGAGTTTCTGTGAGGAGACTCAGAGCCGCTGGGCCTTTTAGCTTTCTGTGCCAGAGACGTTCCGAACCTCAAGGCCTCGTACACGGGGTCCACCTTATTCCCACAGGCTTTAGAAAAGGAAAACAAGACATAAGATTTAGTGAAAGACAGTTGGTTATTTACTATAAAATTTGGCAGGTACATCTTGTAAAATAGCTCAGGAGGAAAAGTGGTCCTGAAAGGGACGCGTCATCCCATCATCAGAAAGAACTGAACTTATTATGGAGGTGTGAGCCGCTCACCGATGGGCATGACTTCTTTGATACAGCCGTACTGCTCCTGGATCAATAATGGGGAGCTGTAGTACCGCCGAAAGCCTTTTGGCTGAGGAGGGAAAAGACAGAGAGGGGGGAAAGAGGTGACAGACATTAGAGCCGAATCGATACACAGCACTGCCTCTGAAATACTGCACATTACTCTGTTTAATCAGACATTTCTGATCACAACCCCACACTGCAGAGACACATCGCTGGATGCCAAGTTTCACAGAAAGTTCAGGGCATATTTCACAATATACAAATTAAGCTTGCGAGGCCAAGAGGCAAAAAAACATGTTTTGTGAGGTCATTGGACCTCGACCTTTGACCACCCAGTGAATGTTGTTGCCAAATTTGAAAAGATGTTCTCAGAGTGTTCTTGAGTTAACATGCTCATGAGGCAAAAAAGAGATATTGCATTCACAAGACACTGAAACGTATTTTCCTTCTGCCACCCAGATTCTAATCAGTTCAACTGATCGTTGAAAGGATTCCGTTGAGGTGTTCTGGAGGTATCATGCTCACAAAGCCGAACATGTGTTTTGTGAGATCATAGTGACCTTGACCTTTGACATTTCATCACCAAACTCTTACTAGTTCATCTGTGAGTCCAAGATGACATTTGTACCAAATCTGAATAAATTTGGTGTTCTTGAGATATTGTGTTCACAAGAATGGGACAGACAACCCAAAATATAATGTCTCTGTTTCCAGCACAGAGACATAAATAATGTCCAAACATGTACTAATCCAAGTCTATTTTTCTACTGTGGACAAATGTATGTGTGATTACTACAAACTGAGGATATGAAAAGCAACAGCACGAGTTTGAGCATCACAGCAGTAAAGAGACAGAATGAGGCTGGAGCACACATGCTGAGGGGGGCTGTCACACTGCGTCCACATCCATAATTCTCCATCAATAATTCTCCATCAGTTTTTAATCTGTCTCAAGTCATGAACGAAGAAAGAAGATTGAAATTCTCAACAATTCCAGGAGCCTTTACGTTATCTGAAGCACAATGGGTAATGATTAATTACACATTAATGTTGTATTGATCATCTCTGTGTTTGTTATTCCTGTATAGGTACCTCGGTACTGGAAACCTACATCTCACAGGACAGCCATTTTTTCTGTCTTTGCATTCACCTTTCATGCACCTCAAGTCGCTAATCAGCCCTGAAGAATTCTTCATTTGACACTTGTCATGATGAGACGGATAAAATAAGCAACTCTTGAGCTCTTCAGGCCGATGTTTAACGACCGAAGTGTCAGACTGTCGGGGAGAAACTCATTAAGGAAAAGGTTTCACAGAGCAAACACGTTGGGAGAACATCTGACTGTAAACAAAACGAACCACTCACCGTCACCGACACGGTCTTTGTTTACTACATTTTACAACACTGAGGTTGTGACTGCAGATGAACATGAGTCTGTTTTCAGTGAAATCTGTGAAAAAGTCATGGAAGCTTTTCTTATGTGTCTTTAATCCTCAAGTAATTGTGAAACTAAAAGCAACTGTGAAGCCTGAATGTCTGGACCACACAAGGTGGGGGTGTGAAAGCCTCCTAAATTATTTAGTCATGCACAGATGTTGCAGACAGACTCACTTCCTCAGTTACAAACGAGCAGAGGTGAGCTGTATTACAAAGCCCACTGTTGTTTCACACAAACTGCACAGACACTGACACAGACCCTCACTGTGCTGGATAAGGTCCCTGTTTGGCAAAAGATCTGTTTACCCCGAACACTCTGAAACAACACGGCAGCATTTTAAGATTCACACACTCTGAGCTCCACACGTTTAGATTGTATGGAGAAATGAATCAAGATGTAACCACACGTACAGGAGCTGAGGATGTTCATTTATTGATGAATTTTATTTATCATAGTTAAAAGTGCATGATGTCTTAGTTAACTGAGAACAGAAAGTAAGAGATTCTAAATAACAGGTTTGAACGTGCATATGTTGTGATCTTGTCTCTGTTGATGGCTGAAAGCAGAGTGACATCACACACTGTGGTGAGAGACGGACAGACTTCTGCTCATGGCAGCGTTCTGACAAGTCTTTTGAAAAACCTTTAGAAGTGGGAAACACAGGAGGACGGAGGAAGAGATCTGGATGACGTGAATATGGGTAGTTATAGTTTTTAAGTGTCACCTGATATTGTTTGTGTATGTTCGAACCCGTCTGAGACTGAGGGAAACCAACCGAGTCTGACCCGAACCAGACAGTCATTCTCTTTTTTGTGTCCAAACTCCCTGATTACAGACACGCACAGGGTAAAAAATCTAGTCGTCAGCCAACGTGACAAACCCTGACCTGATTCCTGAATATCACTTACATTTTTTTGTCAGGTGTCAACACAGAGCTACAAAAAGGAAAACATGTGTTGGTTCTTTGTAAGTAATATTTTATTAGTAAAATACTAAAGCACCAGTATTTTACAGCTGTTGGTTCCTGACTCTATGATTTCAGGTTCTCTCTTGGAGGCAGAGCAGCCATGTGAAGTTAGAAAGTGAAGTAATGTTGTGTAACCAAATAGCTGAAGTACAAAATCCTCAATGTTAAATAACACTGATTTTCCAGCTACATGTCTTAAAGGGTTATTATCCCTTCAACAGTAAGTTTAGAAACGTACTGGAAAAAATTCAGCCTGTGAGGTAACTTGATTTCTTCGCCTCAATGTTCTCAAGCCAACAGAAACAAGCATGGCTGCAGAAGTCCAAGTTTAGAACAAGACAAGTTTAGAGCCGCGCTCTGATGGGGAAACGTTCTTTTTTATTCTCGACCTTTCAACCTCATTTTCCACTCCTGAGAGCCGACCGTATCTTCAAGCCTCATCCCTCAGGCATCTTGTGAAAAGACGTCACAGTGGAGGAAAAGAGAGATCGTCTCTGCTGTTAATGTCCCTTCCACATTATTTCCATAGTTTCATGAGTTTCATTTATTCTTGCAGACAAACAACAACAACAGTTATTCCACATTTCTTAATCTGATTCCAGCGAAAGATTTGAACGAGTAAGAGACAAAGTAGAAAAACAGACATCAAGTGGCCTGACTGTGTGTGTGTGTGTGTGGGTGTGTAAATAACGACAGAGATGAATATTTTCTGGCTCGTTGTTTCACTAGCGTCGTGTGACTGATCCTTCCCCAGTAGAAACACCGCAACCCCACCCCCCGCCCACAGAGTTACTAAAGGATATTAAGAGGAAACATGAACAATCAATAGATCAATCATCCGATCTTTTCATTTCTACAAATAAGTTTGAGTGTGTTTTTGGAAAAGGTCAGACCTTAACTTTCAAACTTTCTCAAACTGTCTTGAACTAAACAACTGCAGTTAAATGAGAACAGTGACAGGCTGATAACGACAGTAGGTTCTCAATCATACAGGATATTCATCACCAATAATGTAATATAATAAACTTTGTCATCTTTGTGATACTGAAAACGTCCAAAAACCAGCAAATTACCTCAGCTGGTGATAACGTCTAACACTTTATAAAGGGATGATTAATGTGAATATTCATGTGACTCCAAAAGGCCAAACACATAATAAAACATCTTCAATAGATGTGATAAAGCTGATTTATTGGCTTATGCCGATGGCGGTGCAGCAGAACATAACCGAGGTGATGAGGCGGTCAGCATTTTTGTAAATGGTGCGATATTAATATTATCTAACACAGAGCAGCAGAGTGATGATATAACGATCATGCGGAAGATGACGGGGATGGATGCTGGTCACAGATGAACCAACACTCACACATACTGCAGAGTGTGATTTCTGAATAAGCACATTCTGGTGGGAAGCGGTCTGACGGCCGACTCGGACGTGTGTTTGGGTTGTTCATAATGATATCTATAATGTTTTTTTTACCTCCTGAGACAGCAGAATGAAGATGGTGTCGTTTATATCATGACTTGATGTCTCTTACCAGTTTGCCCATGCAGCGCTGCTGTCCCACTCCGTTTTCACATTTGTGGTGGAGACTCATCTTGCAGGCTTTGCAACGCAGGCCGTGCTTTGCCGTGTTTCCTGCCAGGAACACCACATGTTTGGCTGTGGTACCTAACACACACACAAACACACATACACAAACACACACACACAAGTAAGAGGCAACAAGTTAAAATCTGTCATGTCAGGAACTGAACTCTTTCCCTGAAGGAACAGCAAATTACACAAGAGCAGGCAGAGGAAATAGACGTTCAGAACACCATGTCATTCATTTATTCACTGACACTGGATTCTTTCCCAGCATGCACTAAGAAAAACCTGTGAAATGACACGTGGAACATTTTAACAGGGAAATTTTAGCAAATGCGACACATGATGTGCATTTAACCAAACGGAGCCAGCACCATCTGCACCAGTTTCTGGCATGAACAAGGTTTCATCTGAACCAAGTTACGCAACACTGACGATGCAGGCATTTAGCATGTGCATGAATGAGTAACAAATAAATAACCACAGAGAAAGACAGAGGAGGCAGATACAAAGAGAGATACTGTAGATAAAGAAAGAAAAGATGAGAACGTCAGCCTTGTTTTGGACGGAGATGTGAGATTGTAAAGACAAAGGTGTTGGCGGAGAACAAAGCTAACGTGGCAACGTTAATGAAGTCTGTCACCGTGAGCGTGTTTGTGAAGATGGAGGAAAGAAAGACAACAAAAGGGCAGGAGATGAATAGGCAGGTGTGCATGAATGTTGAGTGGGTGTGTCTGAAGAGTAGAGGGGATGTAATGTCACGACAGGGAAACTCCAGCTCTCACTGCTCGTCTTACAGATTGAATTAAACCTACATGAAACTTCAGCCAGTAGCGGTTTCTCAATCAACAAAAGTCTAATTTGATGACAACGTGAGGGAGCGTGGGATCATAGGATGAATGGGATTAATGTATTAGAGTTTTACTTTATGCAGCAAAAGGCAATGAATAATCGTAATCAATCACGAGTGATAAATGCAAATAGTGGAAAACAGCCGACTGTTATTTTCCTACGACAAACAAAAACACAGGTAAAGCAGATATGACGCAATTAAAATGAGACGAAAATAAAACGTCCTGTTGCCTTGAATAAAATGGGCGATTTCTCTGAGTTGGAAACATCGTTGGAAACTTTTTAGATAGTGTAAGTAGTTACGTCCGCAGTTTATGTTACTTTTTACATTTTGTACAACTGAATAGAACAGTGTCATGGAGCTAAACTTAACTACACGGTGGAATCTTGTGGTAAAAGGCCTAAAATATTAAAATGTGAATTTTTACTGAAGTGGAGAATCTGTGAAACGATAAATGTAAGAGCAGAGAGAGGTTTCTGACAGGATAAGTCATCTGTGAAGGATTATGTGTCGTACACGGCCTGATAAAAAAGCTCCACTCACAGCCAGCAGCGGTGCATGGTTTGACAGCTCCTCCACATTAACAAGAGAGGACAGTGTTGTTATTAGTCTGGCAGCGATGTGCCTCCGGCTGCTGATTGATTAATCGATGATCACGTGCCCGGCTCTGGCCCCACACCCTCTGAGAGTGCGTGTGAAAACATGGACATGCAAAGGAACCATCGATCTACGTCAGTGGGCGTCGAGGGCGCGAGGGATAAATATCAGTATCATCTAGGATTGTTTCGTTTTCTGTGCATTGTGGTGTAATGCAAATAATGTCAGCGTGTTTGGTTTGTTTTGAGAAGAAGAAAACACAGTCCGCTGGTTGCTTTCTGAACGTCCCCAAATACAAGAGTGGAGTCAGTGTTGTGATGTAACGATGCATATTCACATTTTTACTGTATTTAATTACATTTTTCATATATCATTCTGTACTTAAGTACATTTATCTTTCATTTTTATTCCTTTGCATATGTCCAAATATCTGTACTTTCCACTGCATTTTTACAATGCGTTGCGTTGCACATTCTCATTGTTAACCACATTTTATCATCAATAAGACCCCGCCTCCTTCAACGGATGCAAAGCAGCAGCAGAGTCGCCACCACAGTGACTCAGCAATAATGATGTACTATACTGCTGCATTAGAGAATATGCTACACAAAGTATGCCAAGCAAAGTACTTTTACTTGAAATACTAAAAGTGGAGCTAATGTTCGTTGGTTGGAATCAATTTTTGTCTATTTATTTGTACTTTCAAAATGTGAAATATTTGAAAGCTTCCTCAACCACCGCATTTAGAAAATGATATGTTTGATGGAGATGATTACCTTTTTTCCACGTGTTAAGAAAATCATGTTTATGAAGTTCTCGGCCATCGGATAAATATGTTAAGACTTTCTCATGACAGTACTCATGATTTCCATTGTATGTTTTTTCCCTCTGAGAGCCCAACTGTTTTTGGTTTGCTTGTATTGTCTTTCTGGCCCTGAACATTGTCATTGCTCTGGAAATGTACAAGGTTATTATATTTTGTTGAAATTTTCTAGAAGCGAGAAGAAACAACACTGGTCTGATAAATGAAATGAATGTAATAGAAAACGTTTGAATAGCTCTTGTGTGCATTGTGTTATTCTGAATGATGTCAGCGTTTCAGTCCAGGTTCCAGTCAACATGCAGCATGCTCAGTTTGATGATCAGGGCGACTAAGGTCAGCGAGCAGAGGTAAAAACAACACCGACACATACACCTGATCCTGAACACAAGACACTGTTTCCTCAAAGGTACAAAGCCCCACATGTGTAGTTTAGTCAGTCAGCATCTAATCTCTGCTCAGTGTTCACGTGCTGTAACGTGAACTAGTGTCACACAATCTTGGAGCCGCACGGTGCTGAGACTGAGTAATGGCTGGAAAACTGGATCTGTGTCCTTCCTTTCAAAGCTGCTGTGTTGCTTGGCTGAGCTGCGCTGACACAGAATGGAAACCGGGAGAAATGTGATCCTGGCCTGAATCCTCACCGGTCATCCACAGATTACCACAACAACAACAACAACAACAGAGGAAGAAGAAGCAGCAGGGCAAAGAGTGCAACCTGCACCTACTTTTCAGGTCACTATGAATCAGGTTGGGCCAGGAAGGAACCACCCGTTGAAGCCTTAGCTTCTTGGGGATGGGAGAAAGCATTTCTCGCAATCTAGTTGCACCACTGTGACGCCGCCTCTCAAATGCAGCCTACGACGCATTTGAGAGGCGGCTCCTGACTCTAGCTCTCGTCCGTCTCTGTGGACGACACAGGAGCAGGAAGCACAAAAGAGCTCTTATCAAGCTGCTGTTGATGGGCGTGATTGAGGTGACTCACTCACACGGGACGATTATGAGACGACTCAAAGTCAACTCAGCTCATAAGGGATCAAACTGGAGGACGATACAGGACGCTGACATTGTCGTCCTTTTTTTTGGTAATGGTGAAGTGATTACTTCAGTGTGTGTGTGTGTGTGTGCGTCTCTTTGTGTTTGGGTGCTTTTTCCTCCAGGCTCAGAGAGGAGTCCAGGCCTTAAAGCCATTACAGCTGGGGGGGGAATGTGTGACAGTGCTGCTCTCTCTGGCATTTGCTCTATCTTGGCAGCTCTGCCTTTAAAGCCTATTTTTCATTTACACTACAGTAAAGGACACAACTCCTGCCAGATTTTCCATACCTCCGTCATCGTGCCTCTTATTTCCCACACAGTCTTCTTCCTGTTTCCTCGTCTCCGTCCCCACAGTATCAGTCTCCCAACAGACATATAGTGATCCACTAAGCCGCCCATCTAACCACACGCCTCCTGATTTCCTGAGCCAAGCGCCTTCATTGTGACAACAACTTCTTCACCTCCTCCTCATTGTAAGCTCCTCTAAATCACTGACCTGGGCAGCGCTCCTAGATTTATTTGCAGAGTTAAATTAGTTTTTCCCACGGTCATCTGATTTTTCCTCAACATTTTCCTACATCAAAAGAAATAAAGTCTGGAAAATTTGAAGCTTTAAAGCTGGAGTATAGCTGATTCTATGTCTCCTCGCCACCGACAACCAGTGACATGAGGCATTATGTTTAAAGGTTGTTCCCCAAACCATAAATACGTCCCATTCTTGTGAATTTGACGTATCAAGAACGCCTTCGGGAATTTCTTCAAATTTTGTGGTCAAAGGTTAAAGTGACCTTACCAAGCATGTTTTTGGTGAACGCAACATCTCAGGGATATTTCTAGAAATTTGGTGCAACCAATACTTACACTGAAAGATTAGATTTTGGTGGTCAAAGGTTACACTGCCCTCCCAAAATATGTTTTTGACCTCTTGATATCTCACGTCCTCCTGTAGGGAATCTCTTGAAATTTCAACCAGTTGTCACTTAGACTAAAAGACAAAGTTGTGAGATCTGAGATTCTCCGAAATTTGACCTGATGTCGGCAAAATTTGGTTCCTCTGCAAAACAAAAGCACTTAAATCTCAAGGTCATGCAGGCGAGGAGGTGAGATGAAAAGTCTTTGGAAGGTCCCTGACGTCTGTATGATTCATCATCAGGGGACCATGACTTCCTGTTCATCACCTCCAGACATTACCTCAATGTGGCTTTAAAGAGCTACCTGTAGTTTGAGTCGTAGATCAGAGTTGAAGGTGTCAGCACATCTACACAAATGTTCACTTTCCTTCACCTTCTCTTGGCCTGACTTTTGTTTAAAGGGACATTTTCTCCACGCTGCCACTCGTGCAGTTTGACATTGTATGATGCATGTTTTGTTTTGTTTTTTACAGTGCACTGATGTGTGAGACATTTCCAGACAGCGTCAGCATATCGACTGCAACACTAAAACAGATAAATGCAGGATGGGTGGAAGCACACGGTCGTGATGATGCAAAGACTACGTCTATCTGTGTTTTATACAGGCAGTAGTGACGCAGCATCACTCTGCTGGCTGACATTAACCTCTGACCAACAAACTTCATTTCTCTTTCAGGTCAAACCTATCATGTGTAATTCAAGGATTTTATAACACAGATTACAGTTTGTTAATCAAGAGGGTTTACTCTCTCAACTTTTTTTAATTCCAGGAAGTTAAACGAATTGATATGTTGCATTTAGGATCTGCCTGACATGGACAGCAGCTTAAATCTCTGCATATTCCATCTGCATACATCCTGCACACTGCGTTTCACTTCTTATATTCAATTTCAAGCTCTTTATAGATAATAATTAATTTTTTTCAACCCAGCAATGTAAATTATATTTCACCCTCTGTCAGCTGCAAATAAACCTCCAATTCACTCATGTGGACATTTATTTAATATCCAATTTGCAGCTAAGGCCCTAAAATCAATATCTCGGCATCAGTCTGCTCTTGCTCTGAGAATTTTATGTGAGGGAATCTACTTCAGTGTTATGAGCGGCACAACAAGGACACCAGCTTTTATGGAAATGTACATAAAAACAAGGGTCTCACAAAAGGAGAAGGAGTCTTGAATCAAGTTGTAAGGTTCTTCTCTTAAAGGTATTGCTTTAATTATCCTGAGGGTTTTAATTATCCTGATGTCGAATTATAATCAATCTATTCTCTTATACATGAGTTTTAAAAAACAGATGGACGCCTACAGAAAAACATCTTTGTTTCTTTATCAATAATTCACTAATGTGGTTCAGTCTGCCTTCATATTATAGAGCTAATGAATGACTCAGTGAGCTCTATAAATAGCTCAGGCTTTTTTATTATGGATGACACATTAAATCTGTTCAGACTTTTATATAATAAAGGATCAAATTGAAAGAGAGTGGGTGCTTTAAATTCCCAGTCTGCCTTTTTCTATATCATCATATTGTTATTCATCTACTGGGCAGGTTATCATGGGGTGGTTTATTAAAGGGTTTTTGCCGATTTTAACACCGTTTTGCTGGGATGCTGAAAATAAAATGATTGCTCTGTAAATTAATATCAACTCAATTTCAAGCATTTTCCAAGTATTTTAATAATTACTGCACTATTTTTAACTGTAGAGACCAGTAAATATTTCAAGTGAATAGCCTGTAAGATTTAATACACACAATGTGATTGGTTTAGGTCCCCACAACCCAAAACTGTCTCTCCTTCTTTTCTCCGCTGCTCTTTGACTCTGGCACACACACACACACACACACACACACACACACACACACACACACACTCTGCAGATGACCACACTGTGTTCTCATTAAAGCAGGACAAATGAAGAAGAGGGCAGGTGCATGTTTTTTCATGAGTGGACCAGAGGGCACTGCGCCTTTCACAGAGCCGCACAGACCTGACATCTCACTTTCATCAGCAACAAAGATTTGGCCGCTATCCCTCAGGCCGTGCCACATAAAACAGGCCAGAGTCAGCTACAACACTTGTAAACATGTGTAAATCTGTTTAATGGTGGAATAAAGTTCCGTTTTACTTCAGTGGTCTTGTTTTATATATATTTAATGACACTGAACTGCTGATAGAAAATAGATTTCCTCCATCCTAATTATTATGCCATAAATTTTATAAGTAATGTTTCACCAAGAATGTTAAAAAAGCCTCTAAACCAGATTAACGATGACACCTTCACTCTGTATGTCGCAGTGACAGGTGGAGAGGTCCAAAGTGGTAACACATCATCACTGCCCAACATAGATTCAGTCTGCCACGGTGGCAAACGCACAGATGTCTGGCTGCTCAAACCTCTAGGTATAAACTCTCTGTATAAACCTGGTCTAACAGATGTTTTCAGCCACTTAGGGGCAACACAACCAGCTGTAAACATTATTATCACCTGTTGTGTTTGTGTTCACCTGTTCTAATATTCACTCTCTGTTTCTGATCTCTATCCACTCCTGAGTGAAGTTTCTGCATCTTTAGCAGCTAAATGCTCCACTATGTTCCTCTGTCTGAGCTTTTTGTCTGAAAACACAGGTGAGAGTGAACCACACCAAAACTGTTGGAGGCTCTAAAACCAAAACAACGAGCTGAAAGAGACTATAACGGTCCATAGAGCACAAGGGATATTTCAAACTACCAAACTAAAAATATTAACTAAATAAGCTTCACTGCAACTTATTGAAAAGGGCACCAGTGGTAAATGTAGGACTAAACATTTGACTTGAGTAAAAGTACAAATAAATACACAAATATCTACTCAATTAAAAGTAAAAGTACCACATTGACTTTTGTATGGAGTAAAAGTAATTTTCTACACTACAAATGTACTCTATTCTCTAATGCAAAATCTACATACCATTGAGTGTGCTCACTGTATATTTTGTTCAATACAATAATAGTAGACTGCAGGCCATGGATGAGGTGGTGGCCAAATATATTTCAGGTGTTTCTTCACCAATGATGTAGCTGCTACAGGAGGCAGGTTCTAATGTTACCTGACCACTCTGATTAGATCGGTGGATTGATTTCCATTCAATTATTATTTTAAAAATATATTTAAAAAAACAATGAGAACATGTAACACATTGTAATGCATTGTGAAAATTAAAGGAGAAAGCACGAATATCTGCTGATCTATGTAACAGTTAAAGTGAAATGTCCAGGAAAATGAATCCTGCTATTGTTTTATTATTATTATACATGCTTGTTAACATGCAACTTCTTCGACCCAGCGACATCCCTGCTAGTCTGACGTCATTTCTCTGCAACCAAATCATATATCAGGGGCTTGTCGAGCAGATGGCACAGACAGCCCTTGTCATATTCATGCTGCAAATGCCCTGGGACAAAAAGACTGAGTGGTCCTTCAGCGCTGATGGTTAACAAGGAGGCGAGCAGCCGCCAGAGAAACTGGAACATCTGGTAAGAGGAGAACAGGTAGAGGAGCTGGCAGGGATGCTGTTGTTGAATATCTGACACCTCAAGGGGACGATGGACAGAGACGGAATACGAAGGACGGAGATACTTCGGTCACATGTCAACCGGTCAAGTTCGGTTCTCAGTGTCAGGTGTTGCAGGGTACATGGTGTGTGTGCATGTGTGTCATTGCTCCACAAACTAATATCACTGGATAACAATGTATTAAAATAAAATTAGACACTTTAGGAAACAATAACCTCTTATTTTGTGCTTTTTCCACACGTGCATTTTAGTACATGACCTTCTATTTTTAAATCTGATGAAAGAAAAAATTCTTAATTAGTAGTAATTTATGAATCCTTAATGAGCGGAAGAGGCTGCGGTGCACGGACATGGCATCTGAGGCAGAACAACAGGAAAGCAAGAGTCTGTCGAGTGGAGGATGAGTGCAGGGGATTTACTGTAACATCCACCATGTGGTTGCTCAAAAAACTAGGAATCCTCAGACAAGCCCTGCACCAGGATCATAAGAGAAACATCACAGACTGCGGCCCATGACTCTGGATCAGGAGGAGAGTCCCCAACTGCGCCCCACAATGTCATAGGCACACCGAAACACCTGATGACAGTAGGATACACAATTGATGAAGTCCCTAACATCTGCAGGTGATCGCTGAGACCTAATGATGGTTGGCAACTCCACATCAAACTAGTCTGAAGACCTTCGATCATACATGGGATATTCATCATCTTGTCCTATGTTGATGTTAAGAGGCTCATATTAATAAGTGTGTCAAATTTGGTAATTCATTTAAATGTGGTTCCATGAGGGGACTGTTGGTGGAGGTATATGCTTTCACACTAATGAAGGAGGGCGGAGCTGTGACCATACCTACGATCATGTGGTTGCACACGTCACAGAACGTCGGCTTCTTGAAGATGTGCTCCATGAAGCAGTGTCCCGCAGAGTCCACCTGCAGCGGGTTGCGTGACTGGGAGCGCGACGTAGGAGGAGGAGCGCAGGGGATGGCCGGAGGCACCGGCGGGATGGGGTGATTGGTGTTGTGTGGCGGGGCCATCCCGATGTTGCAGAGGTGGCCCGTGCTGCTGCTCACGTCGGCGAGCAGCTCCGTCTTGTTGTCGTTGCTGGTGCGGAAGAAGTTGTCTGCACTCTTGCTGCGGATGCTCTTGGTCTTGAAGGACAGGGATCGTTTGAGTCTCTGCAGCTGAACAGAGAGAGAAAAGAGCTGAAGGAAACTGGAGCGACGGAGAGAAAAGGACATGTGGCAGTAATGAGCGGAGAGAATGACAGAGGAGTCCAAAGTGGGACGTAAAGGAAATCAATATTTGTAATAAACTACATAAATTACTTCCCAACAAAGTCTCTAAAATGTCTCAGTGTTGCTCAGTGGAAAGCCTCTAAGATTTCCTCCCTGAACTTTAAAGGTCCAGTGTGTAAGATTTAGGTGACAGGGAACTATTGGCAGAAATTTAATGCAGAATAATTCTCATGATGTATTCGCTAGTTCGTTTCATCTAAATTGTATGAATTGTAGTTTTCTTTACCCCAGAAAAGGCCCTTTATATTTAAATACTTTATATTTACATGGAGGGGGTCCTCTCTACGGAGGCCGCCATGTTTTTTACATTAGTCCAGTCTGGACAAACTAAACACCTTTTGAGTTTTTATGACAATTAAAGGCTACCACAGTTTTCATGTTTGGAAGGAGAGGGTGAGGTCAGGGGTGTTCAGCTGCAACATGAAATTTCAACATTAGATATCACAAAATTCTACACACTGTACCTTTAAGGTTGCAGGTTGGCTCGATGCATTATATCAGTACTATTTCTCACACGCTGTGCCGTCTCTTCTGGCTTCAGCCTCCATCAATCTCATTAGCTTCCTCTTTTACAGTAATGCTATTCATAACGCTCCACACTGACAACTCCTCATTTAACCTCTCAGTGTGTACTTCCTCCCCAGTGAAACCCACTTAATTCTGGGCTCACGCGCGTCATAAAGAATCTCTGAGCTATTGTAATGTGATTTTATGGCTGGTGGGTGTGTGGCTGCCGATCTCTGACTGAACTGGAGAACAGTTTATTGATGAGGTATAATGGGTATAGGCACGGACTTCTAATGATCCTGCACATAGCACAGGCCTGGATGTACTACAGGTAAACATTTGTTTTGCTGCTGGATGCTCGAGATCCTGTCAGCTTGTTTGCCGTTGATATTTTGGCAAACGTGCAAATTGTTTTTAGTGCTTTTCATTGCAGCTTCGGCATGGTGAAGATCAATCCCTTCTGTGGGTCAGTCTGGAAACAATCAATTTAGACCCTTTCTAAACCATCACCACCCACACACACACACACACACACACACACACAAAGACATGAATATAACACGCATACACACATTTTCCTGCAACCTGTTGTTTTTCACTCACATTGCTTCTTCTAGCCACCTTAAAAAGAAACTGCAGTAAAAAAGCATGATAAAATGATGGTTCCATCTTTATATATATATATATACTGTATACTGTGTACATATTTTGCAATTATCAGCAACTGCTGTGGTGGTAAAGGATACTACACTTCTTTTCTGTAGTTTCATATGTATAAAATTACAAAAAAACAAGTCAACAGATAAATAATTGAAATAAATAAATGCAACATTAAAAAGTAAGAGATAAAATGAAATAAATACACTCTCAAAGATATCGCAAAATGAGGAAAGGTGAAGTATTGTGTGCATGCATAGAGGAGCTCATGCTGTGTTTGATGGCACCAAATCCATTAGAGGTATGTTAGCTCATAAAGCTGGAGGGTTAATGAAGGTTGGGAAAGATAAGGCAAAAAAAAAAGGCCAGTTATTGCATAAGATATTTATTACATAAGATCAATGTAAATGAATAAACTTAGTAAAGAACATGGGTGACGATGGATTTAACCTTGTGCGGCATCCGTGTAACTTAAGTGATCTGTTAAAAGCAGTGACTGTTACAAGTGAAACAGCTTTTACCCTCATGTACATGCAGCTACAGTAAGTTACGATGGACTAAAACCAGCAGGACGCTACAGTTTGCACAAGAGTATACAGGCTCACCTTGCGCTTCTGGTGTTCAGGCCTCACAGTATTCTTTGAGGAGGAATAAAAACACAGACACACACAGCTTTACTCGTTGGTAGTAAACTAATCCAGTCTCCTCACTCAGGAGCTCACTCGTCCTGAATGTGAGATTGATTGAACACTTTATTCTATATTGGAAGTGAGTGTGGCCGTTTGGCAGAAGCTTTTAAAACGATGTGGAAAAGTCAGCCAGGAGAAAGTACCCAGTGACGACACATGCCAAAGTAAGAGCTCACATGCTGGAGCCTAAAAACAAAATACACAATGCATCAGTGGAGATCAACTCTGTCGTCCCCACTGCAGCTGAGAAACCCGATTCTCACAAACAACCTTTACCTCCGCTGTCGAGCTTATGTTTTCATCTGTGTTTGTTTGTCAGCTAGCAGGATTAAATAAATACTACTGGATAAAATGTGGGTGTGGATGCGGTCGAATTTATTTTCACATTCTTTAACATTCTCAAATAGAGAGAAACATTTTTCTTTGATTTCCAAGAGCAAAATTCATGCATATTGATGAAAAAAGACAGGCGTGTTTAGGCGACTGAGTGTGTACAATTTGGTGCAGATATAAATAAAAATTGGGATCTAGTGAATTTAAATTTAGGGGGACTGTTGGGCCTGAGTGTCATTGTAGATTTTGAGATAAGAGAAGATAACTAACAAACAATCATAACCTCCTTTGCTGAGGTAAATATGTAAAAAAAGAGAAAGCATGGGTCTAATCTATGACAGCAGAGGAGAGTTACTGTAGCATCACTACCACGATGACTGTAGTCTAATATCCACCTGCTAATTGTAGTAGTCTGGGCAACATGTGACCCACATAGATGGCAAAACGCCTGAGGCAGCTGTGGATCTCTATCACACAGCCTACTTTTCTACATCAGCCACAAGTAGAAAGTGTATAAACCCTATTTGCCGCTTATGAATTAATATGTGCATGATAATAATAACGCAATATTTCTTCCTTTACCACTACAGCACATGGTGGACTTTGTTTATAACTTTAACAAGAACATTACCGGCTTTTACATCCTCATAAATCCTTCACTGATTATTCTAATTATCACAATTCTGTAATATGTGCACATAAGTGTGAGTTTAAACAATCTTATGTTAATCTAAGGTTGTTTCCTTGTATGGTTTAATATCAGTGTGTTACTCTAATAGTTATTTTACACACTGAGGGTGATGGGTTGAAGTAAAATGAGTCTCTTAAAGGCACATATTGTTTTCTGTCCTATTTCCAGAGCTGTTTATATTATTCAAGTTCATCCCTGTAGTATGATATCCTCTTAAAATACAATTATTATAAGTAGGATCGAGGTTTTAAAGCTGTTTGAAAAAAGGGGAGCTTACACAGTTTATAGATTCTTCCCTAAATTAGACTTTTATTGAAGCTTTGGATCAGGATACAAGGAGAATATGTGCACAATGTTGAGTTGAAACTATCCTAAGTTAATCTACAGGTTGTTTTCTTATATCATTTGATATCATTGTGTCACTGGCTGCACACTAAGGGTGGTGTATTGCAGTAAAATGAATCTCTTTAAGGTACTTCTTGTTTTCTTTCCTGGTTATATTATTGAAGTCCACCCCTGTTGTATAGTCAATGATATCCTCCTTAAATACAATATTTATAAGCAGGATCCAGTTTTTGAAAAGGACTGAAAGTTCAAAACATCTCTTGTTAAGATGTATTTGTCATGTTGATAAGTGTTTGCTCTGACGCACACACAAGAGTTAGACTGGTGCACAGCCAGCTCAGACTATGAGTTTAGATTTGTGTTCATAACACCAGGACCATCCTACCTTGGTTTCCTGCTGACTGGGGTTCGCACTCTTGGGGGATTTTGGCGTCTCATCCTGCTCCTGTTCGTCCTCTTTGTCCCCACTTTCATCCTGAGCCATGTTGGCCGGCGGGATCATCTCTCCCCCTCTCCCTCTCTCTCTCTCTCTCTCTCTCTCTCTCTCTCTCTTTCTAACAAAAATAAACTGTTGTACTGCAGAGTTTGTTTTGTCCCACCAGCTGTTTACATCGTTTCCATTCCTCTGTAGTCACCGTGACCCGAGTGTGAGAGGAGGAGGACCGGACATCCAGACCCGCTGCTGCTGCTGCTGGTAGATCCGACTCTCACAGAGGAAATTGTGAGAAGGAAACAATCGCTTCCACCAAGTCAGAAGTTAAATCTGTGTCCACTCCAGCTGGAGAGTGTCCCGTCCGGCTACGAGAGGCTTCTGCGTGGATCGTGCCGTCGTGCGTAATCCCGCCTGGACATCTCCAAATCCACGCTGCGCTCCGTGAGCCTCGCACCTCTCCGGGAGAAGCACACTGAGGGGCGGAGAGCTGAGAGACACCGAGGGAGGGAAGGGAGGGAAGGATGGGGAAGGGAGGAGAAATGTGACACTGACACTGTGTCCTGCCAAAATCCCACATAGAAACGTATCTCATGTGGTCAAACTGAATCACCACTTCTTGTAAATAAGAGAAAAAGACCACATGGTGTTAGGTGTTTGTCTCCAGAGCAAATCTCTCCAAAGGATTTTCTGGAGCCAGGACTTGTTCTTAGAATTGTAATTACTTATCCCGATTAACACTGACTGAAGTGAAAGTGAAAGTGCATCACCTCACAGTCTATACTCATGTACAATTTGAAGATGTAATAACTTTAATGTACGAGTAGACAGAAGATACACAATCTAATTTCATTCTGACTTGTTTAAAGCAGTAGTTCCCAAACTAGGGGTCGGGTCCCTGGAGGGGTCGCAAGACACAAAAAAGGGTCATGGTGATTTCCAGATACAATTTAAAGCAATTTATATTAATGTCATACTTCAGCCATAATTGTTTCAAAAGCTATCAAGCAGTACATTTCAAATTATACCACGTAAATAATCATCAGCCTTCTGATTTTCTTTGTCTCCTTGTGATCATGACAGATCAGTGATGGCATCAATTCAGCAGGTTAATATACAGCATCACAGGAAACAATGCAACATGTGCCACAAGTGAGTTTTGTCAACTATCTTAAATAAATTGGGATAAAATGTTGCTGCCTTCGTTATTTTGGGTATTGGGCTGAGAAGTGTTGGAACCTCAGATTTAAAAATGACATTCAAAGATGTGTATAAATGGACTTTGTTAACTGTGAACATAGCAGCTAGCTAGCTGTTTCCACCTGTTTCCAGTCTTTGTACCAAGCTAAACAAACCAGTGTTGTTCGCTTAACCGGCGTGTTAGCTTAGCTCAGTGTTATCTCTTTGTTTAGCTCAAAAAACACATTTATGTCATATCCATGTTACAGTATTTACCATTTTTTAAATCAAATGATATGCTGGCTGTATTTTCAGGTGGAGAAACGGCTAATGTCTGATTAGTGATCATATTCAGTGGATTAATATAAAGTAGGGTGTATCTAAAAAAAAAAAACCCATTTCAGCCAAGAAACAAACACTTTTGTATATATTTTCACGTTGATATGCCATTTTATTGGAAATAAAGAATATTTTGACACATTTTGCAGTGATGTGAGGCATCTCGCCCGCCCCTGATGGGTTAGGTGTGATGCCCGCTGTAGCGATACATCATGCTGCGTCCCTCCAGGCTCTCCTGTGATGTGATGTCCTTGAAGCGATACTGTGGGACGAAGGAGGCAGGCACCAGACTGCAGTCTCCTCACCCTGACAGGGATCCAGACTCCCACACAGTCCAGTCTACATAACCAGCTCTCCTTCAGATCAGCAGGGAATTCCTCCCTAAGAAGGGATGTACATCCTCTGAAATGAGACAAATGTGTCAAAAAGGGGGTTTAAAACAACAAGAAACATCAAAAATACAACAATAATACTATTTTGACAGGCCAGCGAACAGTTTGTCAGACTGTGGGTGTGTTATTCTGATTCTCCTCTGCCTCTTGTGAAAAACAAGTTCTATACAAATTATTTTAATGCTTTACAGGCATTCAGGGAGTGAAGATCCATGTAGTGTTAAAGAGCCACACATCAGAGACGGCACTGCAGGATGGAGGAAGTGCAGTGATATATGTGTGGTGATAAAAATCTGGGCAATTACATGCATGTATATCTGCTGTAAATCACTGATGGAGCCGAGGTTACAGGCTGTTCAGGCTGTAATGGTGAGATTAGAAGGTGTGAAAATGGAGTCATTTGTCCACAGGTGGTCTGGATCTGACAAGGAAGAGAAAACTATGCATTGAAATTCATTTTAGAGAGATCATCTCAACTTCAGGCCTTGATCCCTGGCTCCTCCAGTCTCCATGCTCAATAGAATGTGGATACCCGACCCAAGTCTGGACCCGATGGCCCAAGCCAGGTTTGGGAAAACATTTTGAAATGACCTTAGGTTTCTCACAGGATGTTTTTCAAATGGTCTCAGTGGTGTTAACATAAAACTGTAGCAAACTGGTGACACAATGACCCAGCAACAGAGAGAGCACACAAGACAATCCCCCAAATTAGTCAGAGTCAGACAATCACAGCATGAGTCAGTGAATCATCCACGTGTGTGTGTGTGTGTGTGTGCGTGTGTGCGTGTGTGCATGTGTGCGTGTGTGTGTGTGTGTTGTGTGCGTGTGTGTGGTTACTGTTAATCACGTCGACAGGAAAAGCCAAATCTACCAGTTGTTCGAAGAAGCAAGAGAGCAGAGTGTGAAAGTGAGACTGAGAGAGAACAGTATAATTTTGTCTCTCTCATCTGCTGGGCCATCGCAGTAGGGCATGAAAAGAAAAGAGAGGAAGATGAAGTGATGGAGGAGAAGGAGAGGATAGAGCAGAGGATGGAGGAGTGATAGGGGTTGATTATTCCAAATGGAAGGTTTCAGCAACGTGAAGATCTGAGTTGTGTGGTTGTTGATTTTAAAGACTTATTTGGTCCGAGCTTCTCTTTTAGAAAAATACTTTGATCTTTGATAACAATGAACACAATATATTAACCATAGTGACCTTTTTCATCTCTTTTTACTCATTTGGAAGTTTTGTGGTCACATCGCCAGCTGCCGGAGTTTTATTTGAAAATAATGCACAATACGGAAGTATATGTTTCCTTATTTAAAACTTGTTTTTATACTAATGTGAGATGCTGAAGTTAACAATATTATAAGTAATGCAGAAATGTCACTTCATGAAATCGTAATGTCTATTTTCCTAAAATAAACCTTTAAATGATCCCAGCCAGATTTACACGTGTGTGACAGATGTGTTGATAAGAGTTTGTATTTTGAGAAGGGCTGAGTGTGTGTGTGTGTTTGTGTGTGTTTGTCAGAGTAACTTCCTGTTTCACTTGGTGCTTTCTACCACAGAGTTGTAAATGGATGTCATACAGTTTGAGTGCCTCGCTGCATATTAAATGATTTCACACATAAATGTGTTGCATTGGTTAAAAGAAAAAAAACTGTCACTGCAGCTAATTTCTACCTTTGGAGGATCAGAGGAATCTCCAGATGTCTGAACTGCTGCTGACTGAACTCAACAAACCCAAAGAATCAGAATACTCCAACTAACCGAGAATATGTATTTGCATTCAATGTAAACCTTTGTTTTTGAGTAAATTTCATTTGTCTGTCAATTGATCTCAGTTGTTTGCTCATTCTAATTCATTATTTTATCTATACAGGCACTAATATGGGCTGTTTATATTTATTTATTTCCTTTCCGTCATTTTATTGATTTATTGTCTTTCTTATTGTACAAGCACTTTGTAACCTTCTCCTGAAGAGTGCTATATAAATACATATTATTGGCATCACTCGAATCACATCGCTGACCTGCATGATCAAAAGCTAAAGAAGCTAAACAATAAAGACAAAAAGTGATGGTAAAGATATTTTGTATTATCAATCAAATGTGGAATCTGGGTTAAAAAATTAAATATCAATGGCAGACAGGATTTTACATAATGGAGCCAGTTGCAAAAAATGTAAATAATAGTTCTTAACTTCAAAAATGCACCCCATGTTTTAATTTTACAGTTGTAGCACAAAACCTGCCTTAATTCATAGCACCATATCTGAACATCACCTGTGCCAAATCTCATGCTAATAAAATGAACCAGAGCAAAGTGAGAGGTTTTATTTGAGATATGGTCAGACAGAATTTCCAAATCAGCACAATTTGGCACCATCTGTACTAGTGAAGGTTTCTCACATCAATTAATTTCACTTATATGTCACACTACAAGTATTTATTCCATCTAAATGCAGCAAGAAACCACTGTAAAAGTTTTTTCAATAGCTCCATACATAGTGCTGTATCATGACATTTTTAACCATCAAACCTGGCAAAATATTTAAGGAAATTCACCAAAACTTAAAGAAATACATAAGTCGCAAGAAGAACTAGTCATGGTTGTATGTGAGTTATATTTGTTGTTAAATCAAGATGATTTCTCTGAATGTCATCAACACTTCTGTAACAGCTTCTACTAAACTCCACATGGTTGAGCTGTGATTTGTTCATGTCTTTGTGCTGAGCTGTCACGAGACCAAGCAGCTGTTTACACTGTGGGTAAGAAAAGATCATGTTTTCTTGTAAACAGCACATAGTTGATCCGTTGATGCCGTTTCCGCTCATTGTGTCTCAAGTCCCGGGAGGTTACGAAATCTGGTCTCCAACGTTGTCACACTCTCATGTGCCAAACAAACTCCACATTATGCCTCTTTTCTGGAGAGTTAGCAGCTCTCGGAAAATCAACATGTCACCCTGCTATTTCTGGGAGTGTAGTTTCCTGCTCGCATCCGTTTCTAGTGCCAACAAGACGTGACCCGTGTTGAATCCTGTCATCGTTGTTATCACATTCAGGGCAGAAGTGAAGGGCTGACAGAACGAACGTATTGCAGCAGCTATAAATAACGAGGTGTCTATTTTTTATTGTTATTGCTCTCCTCAAGATTGATTACAACACTGACTTTTAATAGCCCAGTGGAAAATTGATTGGAGGGGTGACTTTCTAGTTGGAGATGCAAGATTATTGTCATTGTTGTTATCAGTGGACCCTTTGGCATGAAGACTTTTTAATTTAACACTGCAGCGGTTCTGTCGTTCATATGGATCACAAGGCACCGCAGAGTATTTCTGAGGAACACAACTAATAAGATCATCACATCAAAAAACAAATATGTGGAGCATAACAACAAAGACTCTTATTTGATGAATATTCGCTGCCAATGAGTGGAGGTGTGAAGACGGTCAAATGATGCAAAATGGTTGAAATGTCCCTTTAAATACCTGTCATCTAAAAGTGTACATCATCAATTTATTCTGCGTGTTCTCGGCTTAAAGCTAA